AAATTTGTGTATTTGATGGCAATTGTAATTCTAGAACTACTTAAATAGGCATAAAACATTATTTATAGCAAAATAAAGACAAAATATTAGTGATTTCATATCAAAGGCACGGATCAGTTGATAAATTGAACAGCATATTTGCACAACAATAAAATTTTTTGTCTTATTTAATATTTATTAAAATTTAAAATCAATCCTTTTTTGTTAAAATAAATTACTGTTTACAAAAACTTACAAAAAATAACATTCATTTTTGTTTTTTTTTTCCTTTTTTCATGCAAGCACTTGTAAATATAACAAATACTGAAATATTAGAAAAAAAAAAAGAAACTGAACATTCTTTAGAATCGATGAAGAAGTGATTGTATCGTATTTTGTTAGGAAATAAATTAAAATTGAAAGATATTCTAAAACCAGATAAATTTAATTTGAATTGCATTTTTGCTTTTTCTTTTGCAAAACAAAATAGAAGAATAAAAACACATAAAATGAACAATTAGCGCCTGAAAGAGATATCGGAAATCATTCAAAATTTTTTGGCATCCCAACTGGATCCATCAGCAATCGGATCGTTTACCCATAACTCTCGTCCATCCTCTACCTAGAAATTTACAATTCATACTACTCCAATCAAAAATACTGAATTAAATAATAAAAATTGAAATTGCAACATTCAAAACTTAAATATAAATTATCACATTATCGCAGCGTTAGCTGGTTACAAACATACATTTGTGCTATTTCAAATGGCAACAAACATAAATTTGCAATAGTGAAAAGGTCAAAATATTCATGTTCATGCACTATTAACTTATTGCAAATAAATTCGTGAAACTTGAAAAGTTAAGATTTACACCTTTGCACAACCTAAAAGATTATTAACTTACACATTGTTGATCAGCCAGAATGCTATCGCAAAAGTCAGCAAATTGCTATTATATATAAATAAATTCTTGCTACTTTAAAAGTGAAGAATTGTACGCTTACATTTGCGCATTATTAATCAAAGATAAACACGCATTTGTATTGCATCAAAACGTAACAAATGCATATTTTCTTTCATTTAACAATAATTAAATTTTATTAATTTTAAAATTGCAACATGAAAATATTGGAAACCTTTTGATCAATGGTCCACTTCAATATTGACTCCATATCACCGTAATCACCTGCACACGTTACCACCACCGTTTCCTCGCCAATTCTATAAAAAAATATTTTAACAAAACTATCAAAAATTTGAACAAAATGAAATAAATTATATGAGTGATTTTTTTTTTCTCTTTCTCATATATTGGACAGTTATCATTGATATGAAACTAACAATGGTATGGACTAATCATTAGGTTTTAATTTAAATGTTTAGAAATGCATCGTAGGCCCTCATAAATTTTGATTATATAGGAGCCTGATTATGATATTGTCTTTTTTACTTCCTTTCCATTTCTATTTCTTCCTTCGTTTCTGTTTATAAAGTAATCTGATGCCCGTCACTTAAACAAACAATCTAAACTGCAAGAATTTCACATTCTATAATTGAAGTGAGTAGAAATAATGGCCAGCCGGTTATGGCAATGAGGATTTTATTTTCCATGGCAAGATAAATCGGTCTGAAATGAGGTGGAGTTATCAAGTAACGTACAGTAATGGAATGCAATAATATTTTAGAAATAGAGTTGGAAATTGTTGACGAAAGAGTAATACTCACCTGGTATGGACACTGCAGCTGACCTGTTTATCTGATATTTTTAGCTTCATTTCAAGTACCAAAGTAATCTTTGGCCTGAGACTAAATAATAGTGTTTTAATATATTTATTGGATTTTTGAAAATTCTTATTTAGAAGTTTCTTGACAAATAAATGGAATTTTATGAATTTCAAAAGTTTGAAATTGATTTTAAAATGTGTGATGGTTTGTTTACTATACCTCAAAGTTTCATCTTTCTCGCACATTTTTCCCTCCTTATCATTATCTGTAAAATAATCAGATTTAATATTTAGATTTAATATTTTCTCAATTTCTCACAATAGTACCAGATTAATCAAAATTCTTTAATTATATATGAAAAAAATTAAATTTCCATACTTTATTGATGGAAAATATCATGAATAATGATTAAATAAAAGGTCAAGTAAATGTAACATAAAATCGCATAACTTAAATTAAATTAAATCAAAAGCTTAAATTTATTCCTCATACGAACGAAAATGCTTATTTTGTTGTGCATACAATTTTGGTATAAATTAACAATTAACAATTAAAAAGATACTTTCAGCTGAATTGGATTCTTTTTGTTGAATGAACTCATCGAATTCTAAATCTTTCCTTCTAAGCTTCAACATTTCATTGGAAAAGTTTCCTTTAATATTAGTCGGTGATGAAATTTTTGGTGAATTATGCAAATCTGATCGCTTTTTCGTCTTCCCACTTCTATGAGCTGAAATAAACACTTAAATAGGCAACATTTCTATCATTTTTCATTATCAGACTTATTTATTTATTTGTTTATTTTTAAAATGGCAGCCGAAATTATGATTAGCACTAAAAATTGCTTTTAAAATGAAATAATTCGTTTTTCTTATTATTTTATACCTGCTTACTAAGTGCTTCGTAGAAATAAATATTTCTCAATAATGCTAATAATTCTTAAACGTTAATAATTCCTAAACGAGAGAAAAGAATATATTATTTAAATTGAATATATCATTATTTAACTTCAAATTATAACTGATATAACGCTGGTTTTGACTATTTCGTCCCAAAATTAAACGCATAATTGAGCAATTAAAAAAATTAAGGGCTGAATTAAAAAAAATTAAAGCACTATGTTGTCGACAAGTTTTTGTTACCAAATTATTTAAGCTAAACTCTAGCAGATTAGATGACAGTTATGGGCAGTTATTATTACAATTAGATTAATGAAATTTGTGAACTGATGAAATTAAAATCTGCTTAAATTAAAATCTATGCACATTCAATTTTACAATTATTGAGGAGATAATTGTAAATTAAAATTAAAAATAGATTAGGATGATAGATCATTTGCAACACAATTGTATCATAATTAAAATGAAGTAATTAATTTTCATGTATACAAAAATGATAAAAGTGAAATTATTTTGAAAGGGTAACAATGATCAGAAAAACCTCGATTGCTTTCTTCTGAATAAAGCTCAAATAAATCGTCAAATTCAAGGGAATGATGTGAAATCGATGGTGACCCTAATCCAACATCTAAATTTTTTCTTTTACTGCCACTCATTCTCCACCAATATTTCTTATTTCTTGTTATGGATGATTGAAGGAATGCCAAACGCCTTCGTACCGGAACTAAAATACATTTCATATTTCTACTGAATTTTGGTATTCTTTTTACTGGAAATTAAGATTACACGACATAAAAAAGTATCCAATAGTAAATGATAATGGAAATAAAATTATATTATTGAGAAAGAAATAAGTTAGGAAACAAAATCAACTTTAATACATTAATTATAAGTTATTTTTGAAATTTTAGAGAAAAATTAGGAAAGAATTGGCACCATAATAATGAAATGGTTTGTGGAAATTGATGTAAATTTGCAAATTTCTTAAAAAGGATAAAGTTCTTTTGAAAATTTGAATTTAATAAAGCACCTTTTGATAGAGGCTCATTGTAAATTGAATCAGACGAAGAATTTAAGGGCGAATTGATCGTTATCGTCGGCCTAAATTCAAAACAAGTTCAAACTATGTAATTTTTTTATTTGCTTTGGAAAAGCTCATTTTAACTGATTCAATCATTTCAATATTCAATTATTTCAAGTATTTTCAAATTCGTGCAAAAATTCACTTTCTCATACTAAATTTGTTCATTAAATTCAGTGACAATTATTGTTGGAGTATTTTTAGTAAATTAATTAATTTTAATATGAATATAACGAAAATTACTTTTGATCGATTGTATGCGATTTCAGCTCCTTCTCTGCAGGCATCGATTCTTCAAATTGTTTCCAAAAAACTGCATTTTTTAATTTTTGCAAATTGTACTAAGTATGCTTTTTCAAATTTAATTTTTTTTGAAAATCATTCTAGCAAAATGAAAGTTTTCTGGCGTTTGATAATAATATATCATATAAAATTAAAGTTCAATTTTATTTTTCTCATTTCCAATTTTGTGTATTCTTGAATACTATTTACCATATGACATTATTGATTAATGAAGCTAAAATTCACCGTTATACTTCCGAGAGTTCCAGTCAATTTTAACAGATGTTTTGCGCGGAATATTGGAAGTGAAACGACATGCATTTTCGCTTACTGATTCATCGTACCGTACCTCATTTTTACTGGGAAGAAATATTGCGGGATGTGTTGCTTTCTCGATCTTTGACACATAACTGTTGCTAAATCTTTAAATTTTCATTCTTTCCTTCTTAGATCTTTTTAAAATTTTTGTTTTAAAATTAAAAAATTTGAAAGTTTTTTCCTGATTGAAAAGAATTCTCTGCTCCAATTAACTGTTTCACAATTTACTATGATAAATTAAATGAACAGTTAAAAATTTAATAATACATTTGAAGTGTTAAAATGATAAAGAATAAATGCAGCTAACAAACTTGGATAGGCTATTAGAATGTGTTGCACTGGTTGTTGTTTGCTGATAATGCTGTGGAATGATATGATATATTAACAGGTATCCATCTAAGGTACCAATCCATACCTGTTCTCGAACACACATCACCGATGTTATTTCTGTGGGTCGTTGAGGTGCGCTATAAAAAAACCTTTTGAAAAACGAAAATTTTAACTCTTGTTCTTTCAAACTTTTTTCTTCTGTTTTAAACTTTAATTAAAGCTATATTCATTTAAATTTGCATAATCAGAAATAATTTTTTGCTGCTGTCAATTGTTCCATGGTTAATTACGGCGAATTAAATGAATAATCAAAAATTTAATAATATATTTAATTCCATATAGTAGTGTAGCATAAAATTTTATTTTTAATATACATTAAAAATTCATAAAAGATGTTATTTACTTAAATAATTTTGATGAGTCCGTTTTTTTCTTTGTTATTGATTTCTCTCCATGTATACATTGTTCTTTTAATAGAAAGCCATAAAATTTAAGGAATGCATTTTTTGAATTAATTTTTTCAAATTATTTCATTTTATAAAACAAAGATAAAATAAATTTTAAAATTTTATGACATAAAAAAGACTTCGACTAGAAGTGCTATTGAAAGAGCAGTAATAGTAATAAATTTTATCATCGATTTTGGTTCAAGATTGATTTAAAGTAAAATTTTAAACATACTTGCTATACTGCTCTTTTCCTAAGTCTAAAATTAGAATGCATTCATTGTCCTTCCAAAGTTGTAACACTTGCGAATGCGCTGTCGCAATCCAAACTCCGTACGATGATGGACACATACAGCGAATTTTTTCAAACATTGGTGAGCCATGAACAGATACCGTCGAGGCAACGTAAATTTTCCGAAATGTTGTTAGCGATCTTTAATTTTAATGAATGGAAATATTTTGGGAACTAATTAATTAATTAATAAAAGATGAAAAATGTTGTAGGGCGTTTCGTGAAAGAAGAATTTTACATTATTTAACGAATGTAATCTAACGTTTGTTAAGTGTTGTATTCCGGTATGATACAATTTTGATGAAATAAGAAAAGAGTAACAATGAAATAATTTGCATCATTTCCCTGCATTAGCAAAACTTTTTTTGTTCATAATTACTCTCACAGTTCAATGCAATGACATTATCATTATTGGGTATACCGAAATGCCATCCGTTGACATATGTGAAGATAGAATATTACTCTAATTAGTCTAATGTTCAAGCTTACTTGGTACAAATAATTGTTACTTTACATGCAGTTGCAAGCCATAATGTATCATCAACAACACTCATTTCTGTAATCGGCGCTGTGCTGATCGGTAAATTAAGCATTTCGATGACATTCGGTACGATTTCGTTCACATTCTAGAATTCAGGAAACGAACAATAGTAAACTAAATTAATTAAGCAATTCAACTATCGCGAACAATGCTTTTTTTTAGAAAAAGTATAATATTCAAGAATTTATTTCTGTTAAAAAATTTAATGATTTTTACTACTGCAGAAGTATTAATTTGATAATTTGATTGTTGACATCAAGCATTACTTTGTGTTAACCATCCGAGTTATGTCATATTGATTTTTTTCTTTTTATATCAGTGGCTTTATTTTTTTTTTTCAACGGCACTGAATACTAAATCAAACAATAACAACCTCAAATTTCAAATTGTATAAGCGCTAAATAGTAAAATAGCGCAGACAAAAATAGCAGAGCAAAAAATTTAATTTTTTCAAAATTTTTCGATTTCTTTTTAATCATCCAATTTTTATATTCCGTATGTTGGAAGTAAAATATATTTTTACAGTATCTGTTGCAGATCAAACTAATCGTATTTATGGCATCTAAATTCCGAACAAATTTGCAACATACTGTAAGTGATTAATATTTCAACTATCATGCATAAAAATTCACTTCATTATCATATTATCCTTATCTGATCATTGAACTTTCCTACAGCATTAACATACTTTTAAAATTGTTGAAAACTCCCGAAAAATACTTACAACTCATTAAAAATATGTTAAGATTAATTAATGAATTTAGTAATACAAATTTTCCATCAACATTTGCAAATTTTTATAGGGATATTAATACTTTTTCATAGCTTTTATATTCAATTTATTATTTCATAATTGGAAAAAAAAATTCAGCGAACAGAAAAAGATAGTACTTTCGTAATTCTTTCGCTGCTTGTAATTATATATCGTAATAGCTAGTTTTTTTAGCTCCACGATTTGCTATAAATAATATACAAATGTTTAGTCTTTTCTCTGCTACCTTAACTTTTCTAGCTAAATCAATGCTAATAAAGCTGTTCAAATGTGCATAGTCAACTTGCTCACGTGATCGTTAGTGACGACAAATTTTAAAACAACTTCGGTGGTCAGTAATTATCGCTTTATCATATATATATAATACGCTCACTTGAATTTTACATCAAGAATCGATTTCTACCGGTTATCACTTCTCATAAACTTTAAAATGATAAATATATTTCAATATTTATTATTTTCATGAGTTTATCAAACTTGATCTACTTTCCGGTGGAAACTTATTGTAAAAAAATATAGCAATTAAGTACCGTTATATACCTCAAAAATGGTAAGTACACCGTTGGCAAGTGCTGCATACAAAAGTCCATCTTTGTATAATAATTTAAGCGCAATATCGGATATTTTCAATTCCCACAATATTTCACTGTAAACTAATCAGTACAGTTTTTGTTCAGTAACACTAATTAACTATTTTTTTATTCAGCAAAGAGCAGTTTGTTCAATTAAATTAATAATAATAAAACAAGGCAACGTCTGAATTACTAATAATTGGTTGAATTAAAATGCTAATATCATAAATAGTATTTGTTAATAAAATCACAAAATTATACCTTTTCATATCTTTAATTTGCAATGCAACAATGTAACGAGATAATAATGAAACATATGCAATTTCACCTTTTCTTAATACCATTGAAAAAATTTTACAATCAAACTAAAAATATAGTTTTAATTTTTCATCCAAATTTACCTTTAAACATTAAACGTAAATAATGATTAACTTTAATTTAGATAATAAATGGTAACGAGAGATGTATAAATGTTGCATGCATAATTGCGCGAAAATGTTTGTTCAAAGTTTGTAGTCTTCTATACTAGCATATTTTCCTTCTTCTCTTTTTAGAACAAAATTTAACAACAAAAATGTTACCGAACAGTCTTGCAAATTTTCAATACTCATTTTAATTTTGGAAAATATTTTTAAAATGATTTAACAAAACACAAAATTTAGCTCAAGAATCTTCAGCTAATCATAATGACAGTATCACGCATAATATTAGTTATTAAGGAAAAATTTGACTTACTTCAGTATCAAGTTTTTCCATAGTTGAAATTTTACTATTAAGACTAAAACGAACAATAATACCTTTCGTTTGATGACCTGCACAAATGTAACCTGTACCTTCCCGATCCATGCTAAATGTTACAACTTCAATCGATGGAAATCGAGATCTTTCCTGACAACAAAATGCGATTACCTATCTAAATGCATGCATCAACTATTTCATCTAATTCAATGCATATTGTTTATTCACATAGCAATTAAGTTTTTTTATTTACTAAATTAATAAAAATAAAAATTCACATTCGTTTTAACATGCAATGCAGATTTATTACTTTATAGCCCAAAATTTCGTTTGCTTTCTTCTTATCATCACTTTATGACATATACGAGACAATTGAAATATTTGAAACACTTTAAAATTTCAAAATTTCAATTTTAATGATTGAGATTTGCATATTTAACAATTTTATACACAATATATTATATTAAACGTAAATATGATTGTAACGTTGTAATTTATCATTTCATTGTCTCTCTAATCAATATTTTGGAATTGATAGAAAGAATTACCAATGATAATGATGTAAACACTTTCCGTAATTGTTCTTTACGATTTAATCGTTCTCGTAGTAAATTTAAGTACCATTTTTGTTTATGTTCAATTTCAGAGCGTGATGGAAATGGTTGCATACTGTCGAATGCCAACTAAAATTTTTGAAATTTTCCTTTCCCCCATTTTCAATATATTTCAAACTTTACGAAAATATTTCAATATTCAATCTTCTCTTTTTTTTCTTTTTTAGGATTAGTTATGAATAAATTAGTCTTTGTTACACGCTCTTTGTTTCTCTCTCTTTCTCTCTTCCTTTTTTTGTTTTTTTTTAATAATTTAAGAAATAAAACAAAACATACAATTTTTTCAGCACAGAAGATGACTAAGCATTTCACGTATTTAACGTATCTAACATTTCACGTGTAACACAAATAACATTAATGATATTCTGTTACTTTTTAGCAAATTTTTTCTTGAATTATATGATAATTTCAATTATATCACTAACGTTGAGTAATCCTTCGTAATCATACGTTAGACGAACGGATGCTTTGAGAATTTTGATAACTGATATGGTATCACTTCGCTGAAGTACCTCCTTTTCATGAATGGATAAAATTGCAAGCGCAAATCGAAAGAGCACTTTTGTACCATCCAAAAGGAAACAATCCCAAATTCGAATCATTGTCTACAAAAAGAAAAAAAAACAGAGAAAAAATTTCATTTTATTTTTTTAAAATAGAAATTTTAATATTTTTTATTTTATGGGTAAATACAACAATGATAAGTTGAATACAGTGGAATAAATAGTACATTATAGGCCTGGCCAGATTGCGCGCAAATGCGCTGTGCTGCTAATTTCCAAAATTCACACAATTAGCAACATAGTGCATTTACGGGCTAATGGCTAATTCATACAGTAGTTCCAGCAGGAAAATTCATATCATTTTAATTGATCAGGAATAGCTAAATTTCAACGTAATATTATGTGCATTTTCGCTTTCATTTATTTTGCTTTAAATTAAAGGTCACGTGAGGAAGGAAATATGGGCCATATAAGATATGCTTGGACAGATACAGGCAAATCAATATAAGTAAATAGAAATTGAATATATATTACGGAGGACAAACTGTATCAATAACAATTTCAAATATGAATTGTTTATTGGGAAAGTAGTATTACAAATATTTGACATCAGATCACACACCTTTTTCACTGCCATTTGCTGGAATAATTTGAATAAATGTGAAGTGATGGGTGTCTCTGTCCCTTTGTGTGTGTGTGTGTGTGTGTGTGTGTGTGTGTG